TGCGAGTATTATAATTATTGTTGTAAATAAGTTAGTGCTTAAGCATATCCCAATAAGGCTTTTGATGTATGACTGGAATGGTCTCCTTGATCATTAATCTCGCTCTCCACCCAAGCTAAATTTTAAAGTAACACAAGGGTGATTATAAAGAGGATAGAGATGGGTTTTTCTCTGTGGCTGTATGGGACAGGACTAGGGGCAATGGCCTCAAGCTGCAGCAGAGGAAATTGAGGTAGGAGATTAGGAGAAATTTCTGATTTTGAGGGTGGTCAAGAATTGGAACCGGGGACTAAGAGAAATTGTGTTATCTCCATCTTTGGAAGTTCCCAAGAGCAGGTTGGACAGACACTTTGTCTGGGATGGTTTAGTCAGGGATGATCCTGCTTGAACAGGGGGCTGGACTAGATGATCTTATGAGGTTCCTTGCAGTCTTATTTTCCTATGATACTATGGTGCTGCATGCCACAATAACATGGGTTTAAGCTGTCCAGACTAGCATCCAAATGCTTTTGCAGGCAGTTCCATTTTGCTTTCAGCCCACCGCATCTTGAAACCACTGTGTGTGTATGTAATGAAGTCTTTGCTTGACAGTTGTTATGAGATCAGAGATATATCATAAGATATAATCATAAGATATAAAATGATATATCATAAGATTATATCATAAGATATAAAATAATAATGGCATAGACCCCTGCTAATAATCAAATCATTAGGAAGGAATAAGGACCTTACTTGTCCAAATGGATCAATGCCAGATCTATTCAGCACCTTGGTGCCATGACCCTTCCCTGTAGACTTCATGTTGAGCTTTGTGACCATTGTAGCCTTGCAGAGCTGTGGAGCAGTACAACTTTGTGGCTGGCATAGTCACCGTCTTCTGGCAGGCAAACGATGGCCTCATCTATCCTGGCAAAAAAACCCACCCATGTGGATTGATTCCATGGCTTGGCACAGAAATGGATGGCCAGAAGCCCTAGACAAGCTCTCCCACAATACACTGTGAACCAGTTCCTAGAGCAGCCCATGCTACGGAGGTGAAGTTATGCTCCCAAGAAACCTATAGGGTAACCTGAGCAAATGCAGTGCCAAGGTCAATATGAGAACAGGTGAGGTGGGTTGAGTGTGACTTGCAGGTACGCTCAGCAGGTACATGTATGAGTGTGACATGGGACCTAGGTTGCACACTGTAGGACAGGCATACCTTTAGGGCCAGACCCTAATCCCCTGCTAAGACACATTTGTTGAGCTTTTAGGTATCTACCTCAATAAACACTGTCTTTGATCATAGGAGGTGGACAGTCCCCTGGCTTTTAGCTCAGGAGCTTGCCTAGTGGTTAGACCACGTGGCTAGGATTTGAATATACGTCTCCTACTTCCCAACAAAGCACCCTAACCACCAACTGCGAGCTAACCAGGGCCAAGAGCACCCTCCATGCCTTTGCTGAAGCTGGGCAGCCATGGGAGAGTCAGGGAGCCAGAAGGAGAGCACACAAAGGGAGAGTGATTGTGTCCCACTGAGGAGGGGCCTGGCCTGGAAGACAGATGTGGTTTCTAGCTGTACATGCATTTTAACCAATGACTATTAAATGCAAAATGCAGAAACAGCTTCTGGAGCTGCAAGTAGTACCCTGGTGCCCCCCTCACCGGGCCACAGAATCTGCAGTTGTTAGTTCTGTGCTCCCATTCGGTCTACTAAGGGATCCAACTGGTGACCCCAAAGACATATCCACAAATAATCCTAACCTTAATAATCATAAAGAAATAGCCCGTTTAAATTAGACTGAAGTCAGTGACGTACTCATGTGTGCAACTAAAAGCGTTTGGATTTGTAGGATTTCTCCTGGAAGCTCCAAATCCTCATGAATGGAAATGATTTTTCTCAAGAGATCATATTACAACATCCGCACAGAGATGGATGCCAGCTGCAGCTTCCCGCGGTCCAGCACGTAGCTGACTCAGTGCTTCGGGATCTTCCTTTATTGTAGAGCAAATCTTTCAAGAGAACATGACAAATGCATTTTCATTATACCCTTACTGAGCATTGCAGCTCCCACTCCAAAGCATCACAGCTCCTCCCACTGGCAATCTGAGAGCCTGATTCTGCCAACCATTAAAAAATAATTGCACCGAAAGCATACATGAGGGTTACCTGGGTTGATTTCCTGGTGGAAGGTATCCCTGCCAAAGGAAACTGCTATTCACTCCTCCCTGGATGTGTTTTGTTGTACTTAGCTCAATTTGTAAGGTGTTTAAAGTGAAAGTCTTAATACCGGTAACCTTCCCACATGACTCCACTTGCCTTTAAATTTGGTTCTTGATGAAGGGGACATTAAAAAAAGAGTGAGCATGAAAGGGGAAAAAATGGTTAGATCGTACTGTATTGTCCAGTATCATTCTCTATAAGGATCTGACAGGTTCATAAAACTATGGGGGACAGGAGGAAATAGCAGGCGAGAAAAAGGTAATAAATAATGACTTCTGGAGGTGAGATTCAAGTACCTCTGCTGCCATTAAGTGACAATAATGGCAATACCAGAATGGAAATAGCGGGTAGGAGTCTCAACACACCCTCCATGGTCTGTGCCTTAGACAATTCCAGCTGTTTGTGACATTCTGCAAGCCAAATATGAAATGAGAATTTTTTATTTTTTTTTAACTGTTTTGCTACAAAATGCAGCCACACACCAAGCCACAGCCCCCTCTCCTAGAGAGGCCTCTCCCCCCCGCCCCTTTCCTAAAACGTATTTTTTCTTACAGACAATGTCTGTCTTTTGGCCCTTCCTGCTGCGTTCCTGCAGCACTGCGAAGCAGCTCCGTTCACCCTCGATAGCTTCTCGATCGATTTGCACCACGTTGTACTCTTTCTTAGTTACAAAGGGGAAAGGAAAGCCTTTTCAAGAAGTGTTTCAGGGAGTTGAAGCACAGGCAACAATGGTATGTTGTCTTTTTCCTGGATGAGGCAAGTGTCCTCTGCCCAGCCCCATTTTCCTTAGATAGCTCCTTCTGGGACCACTTGTGTGGTTTGCCGTCCCCACCTCACCCCCCTCAGCCGGACAAGCGGAGATGCCAGCAGAGATCAGCTCATTTTGCTTCTGAAAGGTGTGAGCCCCCTCTTACCATGCATTTCTAAAAGTCTGCAAAGCAGATCCAAGGGGCGGGGGGGAACAGCTTATTCACTCCCTGCCACCTGGGGTTGGTCGGGTCATCCAGGAGCATCTCACACAGAGAGACTATCCCACTATGCAAAGCAAATGAAGGCGCCGTGGGGCAGGGAGGTTGCACGCAGAGACGACCCAGTGGCAGTGTGACAAGACTAGCCCTGGGCTGCGCTGGGCTGGGCTTGGAGGTGTGTAGCAGGGGGAGAGAGGGGTTAGCCCCTCCACCAGGACAGCCTGCAGAAAGCCACACACACAGGGAAGTGTGCAGTGTGTGTAGACACACACGTATATGTATACATACACATGCACACACACGTGCCTGCAAACACACACATATGCACATGCACACACGTGCCCACACACACATATGCACATGCACACACACATGCCCGCAGACATGCACATGCACACACACATGCCCGCACACAGACATGTACATACGTGCCTGCAAACAGACATGCACACGCATGTGCCCACACACAGACATATGCACATGCACACACACGTGCCCGCACACATATGCACATGCACACACACGTGCCCGCACAGACATGCACACACACACACACGTGCCCACACACACAGACAGATGCACACACATGTGCCTGCAAAGACATATGCACACGCACACACGTGCCCGCACAGACATGCACACACGTGCCTGCAAACAGACATATGCACATGCACACACGTGCCCGCAAAGACATGCGCACACACATGCCCACAAACAGACATATGCACATACACACACACGTGCCCACACACACAGATGCACACACATGTGCCTGCAAAGACATATGCACACACACACACGTGCCCGCACAGACATGCACACACGTGCCTGCAAACAGACATATGCACATGCACACACGTGCCCACAGACATGCACATGCACACACACGTGCCTGCAAACAGACATATGCACATGCTCACACACGTGCCCACACAGACATATGCACATGCACACACGTGCCCACAGACATGCACATGCACACACACGTGCCCGCACATGCACATGCACACACACGTGCCTGCAAACAGACATATGCACATGCTCACACACGTGCCCACACAGACATATGCACATGCACACACGTGCCCACAGGCATATGCACATGCACACACTCCTGCAAACACAGACATATGCGCACACACAGACATGCGCACATGCACACACACGTGCCCACACAGACATGCACACACGTGCCCACACACAGCCATATGCACATGCACACACACGCCTGCAAACATATGCACATACACACACACACGTGCCCACACACACAGACATGTGTGCATGCACACACACGTGCCCGCACAGACATGCGCACACACACGTGCCCGCACAGACATATGCACATACACACACACACGTGCCTGCAAAGACACATGCACACACACGTGCCTGCAAACAGACACATGCACATACACATACACGTGCCTGCACACAGACACATACATGCACACAGATGCACGTGCATGCACACACGCAGGCATATACATATACATACACATGCAGCCGCACATACACAGACATAGATACACATGCGCGCGCGCGCACACGTGCTCAGACCCACCACCAGGGGCAGGACGGGAGGCAGCCGGCGCGCCCCTCAAAGCGCCCTTTGAGGGTTTTGTCCCCTTGCTCTCCCCGTAGCGTCTACCTCCCGCCCCGCGCCCGTGCGCCTGCGCGCTACTCGCTCTGCCGCCATCTTGAAGAGGAGGGTCGTTCGATGTCCCGTGGCGGGTTGACGTCGGGATGAGTGAGGGAAGCCGCGGGCGGGGGGCGTGACAGAACTACACTTCCCGCCGCACCCCGCGCGCGCTTGCGCCTGCGCGCCGCCGCTCGCGCCATCTTGGCTCTGTGGAGCTGCTGCCGCCGCCGCTGCCGCTGCTAAACAAACCCGCCGTTCCTCCGCCGCCGATGTACCGGGCGCGGCCGGGCAGGTGGGTCCGCCCCCGCAGTCTTCTCCCTTCCTTTCCTCCCGCCAGCGGGCTCCAGTCCTTCCCAGGCAGGAGCGGGAAGCTCCCCGCCCCTCCCCCCCTCCCCCCCATCAGCTAGCTTCTTGCAGGGGTGCCGCAAAAGGTGGAGAGGCGCTCGCTGCCCAGAGGCGGTGATTGCCCTGACCATGTTTGCATTGTTTTCCAGGGAGGCCGAGCCCTGTGGGAGCACGAGGACGGAGGAAGGATGCCTGTGGTGTGGCCAACCCTTCTGGATCTCAGCAGGGATGAATGCAAGAGGATCCTTCGCAAATTGGGTACAGTAAGATGGGATTTATAGGCCCCCCTGGGCCTCTTCCTTCTCACTTGGGGCTACCGTTTTGAGTCAGTCTCTGTTGAAAGGCTTGTCCTCCCCTTAATAATATTAATCAAGGTACTCAAGTTGAAACATACAGGAAGCCATCATTATCTTCCTGCCTAGATCAGGGGGGTTGGATGGACTCGATCTTTCAAGGTGCCTTAAATTTCTACGATATGATTACGGCTACAACTTACACCCCTGCGATATGATTAGGTGCCCTTGTCTGTACGTAGTGTCGGATAATTTGAATTAAATGAATGGCCCTCATCAGGGAAATGTTTTGGTGGGATGGGACGTCTGGTGGGTATTCGAGTCTTATCTTTTTGCTCCTATCTGTCCATAACACATTGTTTTTCAATACGCAGTAACGTTAATAGGACATGGCTTGAAGTAAGAATAGAGTCGTACTTTTCGGTATCTCCATGTAAAAGGTCCGATCGATTTCATCGATTTGTTGGTTCATAGACTGGTTTCTTCTCTCTTTTTTTTGGTTTTGTCTGGAGAAAATATACATTTTTCTCTTTACTTTCGTACCTCATAATGCAACCCCTGTTGAGTTGTTGCTGTGATTCGAGGGCCATCGGTTGAGCAGGGGTGTAGGTTGTAGCCGTGTCGGTCTAAGGACATAGGCAGACAAGGTTCCTTGGGTGAATTTGATATCTTGTATTAGACCAACCCAAATAGTTGGAGAATAGTTATTAAGCAAGCTTTCGGGTTCAAAAACCCTTCATCAGGCTAAGGAGGTTTCAGCAGTCAGTGTGCGCTCTTCCTGGATGGAACGAAGTTGAGCAAACACTAAGTCCAGGATACGGTGTCATTTGTAGTCTTTCGTTACAGGGCCTGGCAGCATATCGCGAATATTGTCTCACTTGACTTTCCTTCCACAGCAGTGGGAGTTCACTGAATTGCTTTAAACATATTTCAGTTTTGCACAGTCTGCCCAAAGAAAGGGAATTTGTATCGGAAGATTTATGGGTGCTATGACCATATTAACCTGCCTATGCAGGGGGTCGGACTCGATGATCTATTGAGGTCCCTTCCGACCCGAACATCTATGAATCTATGAACCTTTTATGTGAAGAAAGACCCATACACCTGCTAGTTGTATGCATATCTTTCTTTCTAATTCAATGATGACCTACCTACCTACCTACAACACTTGTACGAGTGAATTTTAATATGGGGAGGGGAAAAAAACATAGTTTGTCTATTCAGACTTTCATTCAGGCAACATTATCTTGTGGTTGAGCACAGTACAGAGAGTCAAGGGACTAGACACCTAAGACTTTGTGACTGACTTCCTGTACAACCTATTGGCAAGGCACTTAACTTTTCCGTGCTTTCTGCTTGACTTCAGATTAACCCAGTTAACTACCTCTTTCATGCCTTGTATTATCCACCTCTGAAAAAAAAATGCACACTGTGCCACTTTGCAGAGAGTAGAAGGTAGTGTTTACAGGATGCTTTTTGGTCCTCATGTGATGATAAACTATTACTAATATTTTTTTTCATGATCTTGTGCTTTGTGCCCAGGGCAGTTTTTGTTTTTTCTTTTTTAAAGGGACAGTACATTGCATCTAGACACTGAGTGAGCATTTGTATCATTTTAAAAATTACATCACACTAGTTACATTTTAGTTGTTATGTATGGTACACTAACAGAGACACATTTGTATAATCCCAAAGAATTTGGGCTATGTCTTTACAGTAGCGTTTTGCTGGCATAGTTCTTTTGGCTAGGAGCAAGAAAAAAAATCACACCTTTAGGCAACAGAGCCATGGTAGTAAAGCCGCTGCTGTAGACCCAGTTATGCTATCAAGAGTGCGTTGTTTGGGTTAATTTGATATTCTACCAGGTAATAATACCCAGAGCAGCAGATTTTCTTTTTCCATGGCATATAAGATTTCCCCACTAGGGGGCTCTGCCAGTTTAGCAGTGCCTCTTCCCTATAGTGGCACAGACTCTTCTAGCCCTTAGACAAGACTGACAGAAGCCAAGAGAGGAAATGAAGGTATGTCGACGTGAAGCGATCTGCTCTTTTCACAAGGGCATAAAAGAAGTCAGTGACAAAAGTCAGGCATAGAGCCCAGGCCTTTTGACAATGAGGCCAGTGCCCCAATCACAGAACCACTCTTCAATACCCGGATCCTCTATTAAATTAAATGCAACAGCAGATTTCAGAGCAATGTTGATCCATAATTCACATCTGACACCAAAGTGTGTCCTAAGGCCTGTAATATCTAGCACTGCTCCAAGACCTATGCAGTTCATAGCTGCAGAAGCATGAAATACTGGGTGAAGCAGAAAGAAGTCTCATATCTGGAAATACTTAATTTGTGAAACCTTATTTTCTGTTTTATTTTTGACCATTTGACAGGGCTTCCCTTGATACTGTACAGCGAGTACACCAGATAGGTTGTGATGGCTTCCTGAGCATGGGGTCGATTAAACTGGTTACACCCGTTCCACCAAGTCCAAACAAAACCTTGGAAGGTGCCTCCATAAAGAAGAAAAAAAATCAACCTTTACCTTGTAATCATACAGTATTGTCTGAGAGAGAGTGAGTTCAAGTTCTAGACCAGAAAAAATAATGTGGTGCCTGCCCAAATGTTGACTCCAATGGCAACCATTGTGGCTTTTATACGAAACACTTTATGATCACAGCCTTAACCCAGAATCCCTGCATAGGAGTCGCAGCTAACCAATCTGTGTTTACTTTGTTTTCCCCTAGGTTTAGTTAGGGTAGGGCAGGACTTGTTTTGGGTATGATTCCTTGGCTGTGTAAGCTGAGGCCCTTTTTGGAGGCATTAGAGAGCAACGCAGATGCTGTTTGGCAGATAACTTCTGATGGCAGCTTGTGCTTTTGTCAGGTTTTTTTGCTTGTTCCTTTCAACTCTTATTGTTGCTTTAAATCAAATCCTACTTAGCTCTTTTGTGTAGCTGATGTATGATGGTGAAAGACAGGGACCTTTGGGGTTTACATTTAGATTGTTAATTTTACAGTAAGGTTCTTAGCCTGGTTCATTAAAAATGAGTTATTCATATTAGAGCAATAAGTCATCCTTTGATACACTATGTAAATCGTCAGCACAAGTTCCAAGGTACTTCATGTTAAAATAACAGATTTATCAACTCGTGGAGCAAAAAACAGAGTTGTATATAGAAATGTCATTTGACTCCTAGCTAAGGCATTTTCTGTATAAAGATAGAATGTTAAGTACATGAAAGAGAAATTGTTGGTATTAAGATTGTATCATTTTGACCAAGTGGTATTTCCATGCGTCATTCCTCTTGACTGCTGCTCAGACTTGAATATCGTCAATAGCGTTTTCCAAGGTTTAACTAGCTTATTTTCTCTGATATATTGGTTGCATGCTAGCAAGCATCACATTGCTTGGGTTATCCTTTCCCATCTGATCAGCTGTATGTCATAAACATTATGCAAGAAATGTTGATTACAAATTTTGACAAACAATAATGTAGAGAGAGAGCTACGTTTTTAAGATGGAAGCAACCTTTCTTGAACCAAGCTTTTCTATGGAACTTTTTAAGTGTTCTTTATCATAGTTCTTAATATCGCTCTCATTCTGGAAAATTCAAGAGTACTTGAAAAATCAGCTTCTAAATTTATAAAGATCCCTGCATATGGAACTCTTGCTACAAGTATATATTCTACAATTACAGTTTTGTGTGTGTGTGGTTGTTTGTGTGTGATGCTGTATTTGCCTGAATCCAAGATGACTATGAATTGAAGATGACCCCAGCCCCATGGAGCACATAGTAGCTCCAGCCCCAACCCAGCCTAGCAGCAGTGGTTGCAGTGGCAGGAGCTCTGTCCCTGGATGGGCCAGAGCCAGAGTTACCATGTGATCTATCTCCCGTGCTCAAAAGGGATGGAGCTATGACTAATAGTAAGTGATGGTGGATATGCCAGGGGTAGTGGGGAGGTGTCTGGGGAGGGCAGAAGTGGGAGGAACAGTGGCTGCGGCTCCAACTCTGACCTCAACCCCAGGTCAGGGCCAGGTGGAGCCACAGAAGCCACCTGACCTCCGTGCTGCTTTGTACTCAAATCCAAGACGACTGGTCCCTCCCATGTTAAACCGGGGAAAAACCCTTGCTTTCAGTTCGAGGAAATGTAGTGCGTGTGTGTACTAGCAGCAAGTATATACTGCGCATAACACTTGAACATAGGTGCATTAAAGAGGACTTGATCGAAATAATTCTAATCCATGAATTTTATAAAATGTACTGAATTATAAGAGTAGATTCCTTTTTATGACTGTGGAAATAGTAATAGGGTCAATATATTGAAAAAGCTCTGTGATATTTTGAATTTTTTGCTTTCTGTAGTTGATATGTAAGAGTAAATGATAATTCTGTTTTTCCTTAGAACTGGAGGCATATGCAGGAGTTATTAGTGCCTTGCGTGCTCAGGGGGACCTTACTAAGGAAAAGAAAGAGCTCCTTGGAGAACTTTCCAAAGTACTTAGGTAAACCTCCTCATTCTTGCAGAAAATGTGTTGGGTGTGTAATGAATTATGGCCTGTTTTATTTCTAAAGAATTATACTTTCTGTCATTGGCAACTTTTCTGACCCTAAATTCACATTAGCAGCAAAAGGGATTCTGGACATGGTGGGAAATTTAATTTTTACATTGCTTGCTTGTCACACTTATTCATCTTGCAAGTAAAAAGATAATTTTTCTAATCTCTACCCTTTAGGTATTTAATCTGGAATCAGTAATCCATATGCTCAGTCAGTAACACTGCCTCTCATAATGATGGTTCTCTACCTGGGATGCAGCTGACAATTTTTTCTGATATTCTGAGAGGCAGAAACATCCCAGTTAACCACGGAAGCTATATAAGGTCTTGAGATTTCTCAAGTGATGTGTATAAATAGAATTTCAAGACCTTCAGCCACAATTACATTGATTGAAAGGTCCTACTTTCTTTACATGCTATTTTTTTGGCCCCTGCCTATTTGTTAATTTGTTAGCTCTTATGAGGGAATTGACAATCTCTTAAATAAAAATACTTATTCCTTTCCTCCTTCAGAGTGTAGATATTTGTTTAAAAAAATGCTTTAGCTAAATATATCAGATACATGTATTTGTCTCTCTCATCCGAAATATACCAGGTGCTTTATTTTTATTTTTTATTTTTTGACAGCATTTCAACAGAACGCCATCGTGCTGAAGTTCGGAGAGCAGTAAATGATGAACGGCTAACAACGATTGCGCATAAGTAAGCTATAATTCACATGGTACATAGGCCCCATAAGGTATCATTAAAATAGTCTCTGCCTTGGGCATCCCATTATCCCTTAACCTTGAAGATCCCTAGCAGTTAGTTTACTGTTGGTTTAGGGAGCAGGCTTTTGGGGACAGTAACTGTAACTATAATCTCTACTAATCGTCTACTATAGAAAAAAATAAGGGAATGTTAAATTTTGGATTTAATTATTAATTTATTGTAGTAGCGCTTAGGAGCTAACTGAGAACAAGTACTCTGTTCTCATAGACCTTGTTCAAATATAAAATAGGAGAATCTCTGCCCTGAAGACTTTACAATCAAATAGGCTAAAAAGACAAAGCATAGAGGAAAGGTATGTAAAATACAAGAAGAGTGAATGGTGTCATGGCTGCAGATTTCATGTGACTTGGGTTTAATTTTATTTAAATCCTTTTGGTGAGATTGTGTTAAGAGAGAATTAACCGAACAAAGACAAAGGTGGGTGAGAAAAGTTGAAGCATAACAGAATATCAGTGCAGAGAGATGACTGTTCAGAGTGAAACCTGCAGGCATCAGTGTCTGGTCTCACTCTCCTCTGATTGTCTTTCTCAAACCCCACATGATTCGAGGGAGAAAAACTAGCGTTCGCTTGCCTTAGTTAATTGTTTTGTATTCTTAATCGTACCTGAAAAGAGTTTTTCACAATTGGACCTTTTTTTAAGGGGAAACACTTTTCGGTTCAGTTAGATTATAGAAATGCTTCATGTTTCTCTTAATTTTTACATGTTAATACCAGAAATAATGCATTTAGGTGGGAATCCTGACTCAGGTACAGCCTCAAGCAAAATATGGTATTTCCTGGCAAAATAAATGGCATAGTGTTTCTGATTTCTTTTCAAAAAGAATATATGTAGTGAAAAGTAGTAGTTTACGTATTAAAAGTATTCAGGATTATTTCCATAAATTGAGTTTAGCACTGATTGTTTGTAACATTTTGTAGAATATGTGCACTGTTTCTGTCTGAAGGGCCTATTAAAAATAAAGCGATAAGGCAGACTAGAAAATCCAAAAGAGATGCAACTACCTTATGACAGGTCACTTCTTCTTTTTTTCCAGTCCTTTACTTTTTCTAAACAATAATATGACAAAGAGATCTTTTAACTGCTCAGGATGAATTCTTCAAATAATTAGGACAGTTCCATATGGCCATTAGATATGGTGGATGTAGCATCAGTACATTATCATCTCAGCTAATACAAACCTGCATGTGTTGGAAGAAATTTCGTGGAAGCTGCTGAAATACATATGGATTCAACTGGAAAACTAGTTCTTTACATTATATGGACTGATTGATGGCAACTTTTTATGTGAGTTCCTCCATACCATTAGCCAGAGTTAGAAGGAGTTCTTCAGCCTGTAGTAATATTCTTTAAAATAATAATAATAATAATAATAATAAAAATAATAAAAAAACCCTTTGAAAATTGTAAGTTGAACTTTAGTCAATCAGCAATGTAAAACCATCAAATAAAGACAAAAATCTCTGCTCACCAGAGGAGAGGATGATGTTGCTGAAGCCTTCTGTTATGCCTTTAAACAATGAAGTCAATTAGTACTACAGCCAGGTGGCTGGCTTCTGCAAAGAGATGAGGTCTGAGTTTAACATGTTGCTATCGTATTTAGGACCATTGCGATTAGGCTGAGATTATTTTTAATTAAGTAGATCACGATGTACTTTGGAAACAATTAATTTTATAACACAGTTAGCTTGAAGGATGCTTTGGTGATTTTATTTTGCTCAGAGTATAACATACACAAATTTACATGACTACTTATAAAGTTATAATTTACTGAGTATATTCTAGACTGTCATTAAAATTAATCCCATTATTTAGGAACCTCCCTCTGGAAAGGTATGTTTCATCATCAGTAAATATGCTGGATTTTTTTGTGGCAACAGAACATTTACAAAATATGTATTTCTGTTTAGTATGTCTGGACCAAATAGCTCTTCAGAATGGTCAATAGAAGGTCGTCGCCTGGTGCCATTGATGCCACGGCTTGTTCCACAGACAGCCTTTACTGTAACAGCTAATGCTGTTGCCAATGCAGCTGTTCAGCACAATGCATCGCTTCCAGTTCCTGCAGAAACTGGGAACAAAGAAGGTGAGGGGATGCCAGTATTTTACTGCTACCTGTGGGGTTATGAGAATAACAACTTCACATGTTAAAGGGACACTGTCTGGTAGCTTAGATACAAGACGGAGGTAATCTTAAAATGCATAAATAATATAGCTGACCCTCTGTCTTTGCACAGTGTTAACAAAAATATTTTTATGAAATTTCTTTGGATTTAAAGTCACCTCTGACCTTCCTGAAATCTAACGTTATGCTAGAATATTAGGAATTGGAATATGAAATTGGCTGTGAAAGTCAAGGAAATCAAATAGTTAAATTAAGTAAAGTGGAAAAAAGTTTTAACCAGTGGTCTATTTTATGTTTTTAAAATACTGTACATGTTAAATGGTGAAATTAAAAGAAAAATCTAAGTTCTTACAGGGTCCCTTTAAGTTAGAACGATAGTAAAAAAAAAAAAAAAAAAAAAAAAAAAAGTGACAACAAAAATGATGCTGTGAGGTTTTCATTCTCATTTTGTCACTCCAGATCAACGGTATTGAGTTAACAGGTCAAAAGATGACTCCTGCTTTCTCCTTACTTCCTGATTGCCATCATTTTAAACTGCATCTTGGCTGCAAAGTTTCATAGACTTCAGCAAAAGAATAAAGTTGCAACACATTCATGCAATTGGAGAGAACATAACACTTGTCAAATTAAGTGTTTTTTTTCCTTGGCAGATGTGGGAAAGTTGACACTAGCTCTTTACCATTCTTTGTAAATCTTACTGCTGCAAGGGTTTACCAAGAAAACTGTTTGGCAAAGATGCTGTTCTGTTTTAAGTTTAAAGGATGTTTCAGATTCATTCTGGGGCTAATATACAATTAAACCTGTGCAATAACTCATTTATATCACTGATCCACATAAATATCTTAGGTCCTTTTACAGTAAGATAAAAACTAATTAAGATACCAGGTTATAATTTAAAATATACAGCTGGTAGAGAAGAGAAGCTAAACTCAGGGTTACAAAGGTTTTATGAAATGAAAAGTCTTTCAGATCTGGTTTGAAAATAGCTAACTCCATGATCATGCTCAGGTCGAGTGCAGAGGGCTCCACAGTTATAGGAGGCAAAGATGTGACTAGTGACCTGATAATCCCTTGGCCTTTACTTTGACAACTTAGGTTAAGTAGTGTTAGGATAATGGAATTCTGCACATCAGTTATGTGGAAGGTGTCTTTTCTCCTCTTTAGTGGTGGTTTGCTATTCCTACACAAGTACCACTTCAACCCCAACATCTACCCCTGTTCCAAGTGGCAGTGTAGCAACAGTGAAGTCCCCCAGACCTGCCAGTCCAGCCTCCAATGTAGTCGTCTTGCCAAGTGGAAGTACTGTTTACGTCAAAAGTAAGTGATATTAGTAACTTTGATTAACAAAAAAAGAAAGGAAGGGATGGTCTTGTGGCTAAAGCGCAAGACTGTAAATTCAGCAATCTGGGTTCCATACCCAGCTCTGCCTGAAATTTACTGTGTGACCTTGGGCAAATCGCTTAACTTTGTTAGTTTATTCATCTGTGAAAAGGGAGTGCTGCTTTCCTTTTTCAGAGATTTATGTTAAAGATAACATTTTTCCTGTAAAATGCTCCATAGTGTTTTGAGGCAGGGATAAAAGAAAAGCAGAATATTTTGAAGAATAAAGCCAAAAACTGTTGTGCCTGGTCCATCTCTCTCTCTTTTTTTTTTTTTTTTTTAGCTATGATATGGGCACTCTTGATGCTTCTGAGGAACAATTCTGTTCCTCCCCTTTTTTGCCCATATAATGAACATGGATAACAGGCAGTCATTTATCACTTGGTGGAGTGGAAAGGAAGAAACCCTTTTTTCCCTGAAACGAGCAGAAGTTTTGCAAAATATTATGTTCTGAGAAGAGTTTGGTTGCGATAGATAAATGAGTTGGTCATAGCTTTAGCCTATTTCAATTGGTTTCAAACCAACTAAGGATCTGGGCCACTGGAAATGTAGATTTAAAAGAATATAGGAATTTTCCTGCTGCCTATAAGTGGCAGAGCTTTTAAACAGACTATACCACTAACCACACGTGGGGGTTCTGTAATTAATCTGGTTTCACTGGGAGTTAAGTGCTTACCCTTCTGAGGTACGTATGAAAATTGTATGTACCCTTTTTCATCTTTAAACACTTAGACTGTTTTTTCTGTTTTAGACCAGATTTTTCAATTGGTCAGTTCCATTGGCTACAGTTAATTTTACTTTTTAAGTCAAGTTTTAATGCAACTTTGTTTTGTTAAATGTAGTTATCCGGTACATTTAAAGTACTTCTTGTTAACTGATAACAACTAAAAGGCTTTTCTGTCATTTTTAATTGAATCTCAACTTCCATTCAAATGCATCTAGACACAAAACATATGTAGGCAAACAATAGACAATTAGTGCCTCATTTTCTAAAAGGAATTTTAAACTGTGTAAGATTGCTTATAAAATACACAGATAAACTATATGCCAGTGGTTGGCAACTCCTCAGGGCTGTGGGCCAGATCAAGCAAGCTGTGAGTCTCAAGCAAGTATGCGTTTTGATGTAGTAGCAACTGTTCCTTGCCACCACTTCATTCTTCCCCCTAGCTGCTGAATCAGTGCAGCTTCTCCCTGCCCAGCTGCAATGTGGATGAGGCCCTTTGGCTCTGTGAGCCAAGTCCAGTGGCTCTGCAAAGTGGATTCAGTTCATGAGCCATATGTTGCCAATCCCTGCACATTGCCCTTTATTAGGAAAAAGTATCACATTTTGTGTAAAGTGGAATATTTGGTTTGTAGATTATCCCTTTTTTTATTGATTATTCCAACCAAAAGAATGAACATCTGTTTAGGAAAATCACTAAAGTGCAAATGCAAGGTGCAAATGAAATACAGTTTTTAAATTAAGGTTTCCAAGGTGCTCTTTTAAATTTTGATGGATAACTCATGTGATTTAAATCCCATTTTCCCTATTTAGAAGAATTTACAGTGATTTGGAAGTGAGATCCCAAAAACCAATGTTCTCAACCTCTTCTTTTTTTTTTTTTTTTACTTGGCTTTATTTTTAGAATAGAGTTGATTGCATGATTATGACCACAAAATTGGTCTGGATTCAAATGAGTAAGCAAGGGATGTAAAGCTCTTATTTTCATGCCCTGAGCCATTCAGTTCCCCTCCTCTTTCTTTTTTTGCTTCAGTTAAGTATACTTCATTTTTACTTGGGTAGGAATTGTATAAACATTTAGTCTTGAAACGTAACAGTGGTTCACTTTCAAATAATACTAATATGAACAATGGCAATGTTTGTATTTGAGTCAGAGCAAGGGATGAAGATTCAAAGCAACAGAGTTATAATCCTGACTCTGCCCTTGACGTATTGAGTGATCTTCTCAAGTCATGGTCTCTTTGGACCATTCACCTCTCCATGTCTCTGCTTCCTGCCTCATAAAGCTTGATAACATCCACATTTTCATTTTTGATACCCAGCTACAACTCTTATTTTATATGAAAAACTCCATGTATGTGCAATTAACTATAAAAATGAAAACCACAATAATAGGGTTCTCACAGAACCCACACATGAAATGATAAAACTGTTTCATGTAAAGTACCTGTATTAATAGTGTGTCCCTTCCAAATAAACTTGTTTTTCTCTTATGGAAAGAGACAATATACGGTTGACCATAGGACTGTGACCAGTTCTTTACTTTGCACTTTTCTTTACCACCAAAATATCAGGATGTACTGTATCACCCAAGCTACATATACATTCTGCGCTGTGGGGAATCCTGTGTCCTCAAAGTGCTCAGAAATATCTCCTGACTTTAATTTGTTGATTAATGATCCCACAACTGAGTTTGTTTAGCATGCGTACGCTCTAATAAAGCTTATAAGACAGAGCTTATTTACTGTACATCTCTAAAGACCCGTACAAAGCCATATAAGCCTTATCTCAATTTATGGATAGGAAAACGCAGAGAGAGAGACTTGCTCAAGGTCATGAAGTAAATTGGTCAGAACTAGGATTAAAATGCAGATTTTCTAACTTCTAAACCCTTACTTAATCCTTGATACTACTGCATCCAAAACTAATAGACCACTACGACAAATATACAGTTTCAAAGAGATAATGTATTTGTTTGTTTCCCAATCAAGAACTTTAAAAAGAGACTTTAGTTCCCTAGCAGTCTTTGCTTCCATTCATAGCTCAGTTTCTTGAGTACACTTATCAGATTCTTGCATTGCCCAGAAACTTATCTGCAAATGGGCTAGATACATAATAAGAGCAAATCCCATCTCCTGGAATTTATTTAACAAGCCATATAGCTCCTCCAACAGTCTGCAATTATTGTCTTTTTTCATTAGAGTCTCACAAACAATGAAGTTTGTCTTGGGTTCCCTGAAAGATTGCATTTTGCTGCATGAGATTTTTTTTCTGAGAGCACATTTAACTTTTCTTTGCAAGGTGAGGGCCTGAGAATAAGTATCTTCTGCCACCCTGTATAAAGATGGATTTCATCCACTCTGTTTTCCAGTTCCTCAACTTTATGGCTAATTTGTTTGTCCATTTGGCTGCATGAGGTATATTTATACGTACAACCAAGTGTATAATTCGTGTTACCCTTTGAACCTTTTGGCTGTTTACATTAAGGGAATTCTGGACATAGTCTTGTGTTTTATAAAAGTAATTCTGATTTTCAGGTCCACAGTCCTTGTTACAGAAAACATAATCAGTGGTTTAGCTGAGTTAGTTATAGCATATTGACTTTCTGTGTCGAGTGGGTGGTTGTGGGTGCGAAGGAAATTCTTTGAAATCCAAGGAAGAGTAGACATTTTAGCCAGCTGTTGTAATTTCAGACCAAAAGCTAAGACCAAAAGCTAAATATGAACTGGAATATTCTTGAAGATGTCTTCCCACGTCTCTCACCCATGACCAATCTCATTTGTGTAACTTCTGACATTTTTACATAGCAGGGCAAAACCCCCACATTTTATCTACTTATTTTTAAATTTGGCCAGAATTAACATACTAGCGACCAGTGGTTTTTGGTTTTGAAAGAAAAACACAGTATTATAGAAGAAATGCGGTCTAGAGCAAGGAGTCAGGACCTCAGGTTTTCCATGGACTTGTGCCTTTAGAAATATTTAGCGGTTTTTCCCATTTTGAAAAGGGATGTGTAGGACATAAGTCTTGCTGTTTTTAGAAAGCAGAGAGAAGACCCACAGATGAAGAGCACTATATAAATAGAAAATGTTGTTATTGCAGGTGTCAGCTGCTCGGATGATGATGAAAAGCCACGTAAAAGACGGCGAACTAATTCTTCTAGTTCCTCCCCCGTTCTTCTGAAAGAAGTCCCAAAGGCTGTCACTCCTGTCACTAAAACTATCACAGTGCCTGTAAGTGGCAGCCCCAAAATGAGTAATATCATGCAGAGCATTGCCAACTCCTTGCCGCCGCACATGTCTCCTGTGAAAATAACCTTCACTAAGCCCTCAACACAGACGACAAACACGACAACACAGAAGGTATGTGGGGGAAGCTGTCAAATGTTACTTCATTCTGTTTCTGTTAGCGAATAAGATGTGCTATTTAACTTTTTTCTCTCTACAAAAATGTCTAGCTGTGTTTTAAGGAATGTACTTTGGATAAGGTTATCCCTCTTAAAACAGAAATCGTATGTGAATTTAGTGCACCTTTGTGTGACAGGACCTGGATTGACAGCCCTGGAGACTGAAGCCCTCTTTTTATCCACAGAACAGGTACAGCACAGGCAGCGGGAGTGCAGGCTTCCTCCACACTGCCCCACCAATGTGCATCAACCCTGACCTGAAGGGACCACTTCTAGGGATGAGAGGGGATTCAGTCTCCATGCTCATTCAATTCTTGGCCTCTCTGGTGAGACTGCCAACAAGGTTGCCAATTAGTACCATATGTGGTGTTGGGTTTTGTGATGTGGACACTAGTTCACTGAGAACTGGATCACATAGGCCACTGAACAGCCATCAGATGGTAACAACTTTTGGTCAAAGGTAATCTTTCTTATTTCTCTTTTCCTTGTTTATAACTATTCTAATTCTGCCATAATAGGCATCAGGAAATTAGGTGTGGGCTCTCGGTTGTCGCCAGGCATGGCCATTTTTAAGGGGCCTATGCCAAGCTACAGAAGTGTGGCTAAGTAGAAGGCCCCATAGCCTGTTTTTGAGTGACCACAGAGCAGACCTTTGCAGACCCGACAGCTGGCTTGGTCAGCAAAGGTAAAGGAAGCAATCAACATGTCCAGCTGAACCAAGAATGAGATCCAGTGAAACAGAGCCCAGGGCCTGAAAGGAGACATTTAAGGGAAGACCATACATTACACGATAATAGTAGTGATTGGTGCAACTGCAAATATATTAGATGCTGTTTTGCTATAATACATTTTTTTGGTTAAGGTTCTTAGATTGGTTCTAAAAGGAAGGCACTGTCGTTTATAGAAAACTATAAAGTTTGGGAAAGAAAAATAGGATGGTGGTAGGCAATATTCCACAATGGTGAAGGAAGGAGATAAGGATTCCTTCCTTCCGGAGGTGTAACTTTCACAAGAGACATAAATCTCGAACAAACTGACATCTTCCACATCTACAAAAGAACTGGTTCAGTCCAGTTCCAGAAGTTTCAGTGAAATGAAACAATGTAAATAAAACCAATCAGTGATCATTTATTAGAACAAGCCATCTATTGGAGATCGGATCTGGGTGTTGTGCAGCTGTTTGCCACCCAGTGATTGGGAGGAACTCCGAGACACAGTTAAACAGGCGCAACACCACCCATCCTATCCTGTGTAAAGATTTTGGTTAGAGGACAATGACCTCACTCCAGAGCTAGCAGAACTTGCTGTTAGATGTGACCAGGAATTATGGGAGTTATATTCTCCTTTTTCTCGTGTGCCATTTCTCACCCTTGCCTAGTATTGTAGCACTAAAGATCAACTCGGGTATTCAGGTAATGTGATAGCGCCCAAATTTTAGTTCTGGGCGTTGGATAGAAGTGTTTTTATAAACAATGACCAGATTTATTGTTGGCGTGTAAGCCCGTTGAAATCACTGAATACGCAGAGATGAATTTGCGGGTTGCTCTGACTGCCTACTCGAAAGCATTTTTTCTCAGCGAGAGCTTCTTGAGGTCAAGCCCCCATGGCAGCTCTCCACTTCCCACCCCCAGTTTAGACCAGTGAATTGGCTTTTCTTTTTGCTTTTTTTATGTGCAGATTGTGAGTTTACTTTGGGCCTTTCATACTATCTGTTCAGTTATTAAAAATGGGTGACACACACTTACATTTAATTCCCTGATCTCAGATAGTGTCATTGCTCAGAAATATGAGCTCCGAAAGGATTCTGGGTGGTATGCTAATGAATGCTAACCCATCCGATATGAGGTTTTGCTTACACTGCAGCAGGTACTTGGCTTGTAGTAGAGTTTAACTTGGGGCAGCACATGTGTTTGGACAAAAACACTTTTTTGCACCAGAATATTTGTGTCTGCATTTATGTAATACATTTTAAGGTTGGTGTGACCCTCTGCGTTTGTGATTAAGCTCAAATGGGCATGCAGTTCAATGAACATTAAGAGTGCCATTCACAAATTCTGCGTACATGTTTTTAGGATTGTGACATTTTTGCAGGTTGAAGGAAACTTCATAGTTCCTGATGGTAGAGATTATTGTTCCGGTATTCAGCTGAACTATTACATAAAGCTGTTTGCACAAAAGTGATAACTGCTACTGGTAGTCAAGGGACATGGCAGTTGTTTCGCTTGGATCTTTATTTGGTACCTCTTTACACAGCAAATCTGGAACCAAGCTTTTGGCACTTCTCAAAACAGACTGTCACAACAACATTTTCAGTGTTTAGCAGTTGTTATAGTTGAACAAAATAGCCTGTTTGCTAGCAGACATGTTTCACTTTGTGTAAGTCACTAGTTGAATGACTGTTCAGCAGTGGAAGGTGGCTATATACTTTCAGCATTCACCACTGAATCCACGAGAAACTAGTATTCAAATACAGTAGTCTTGATACTTCCAATTAAGACTTGTACTCTCTTCAGAGTGCTTTCTGTATGTATTACACAATTAGAAATTAGACAGGCAAACATTCTGTGTGCTAATTTTGATGAAATAAGTGGACCCTCAGAGCTAATGGTATAAACAGGAACCTGTCTGTGCACACTACTAAACAATACATTAAACAAGTTCTGGGTTTTAGTATAGATATCTTGGCCTGCTTATTTCCCTGATAGCAATCACTATTTGAAAAAAAGTTGGGGGGAGGGCTAGGGGAAGAAGGAAAACACTGAAAGTATTTGGAGTGTAAAGTATCATGGAAGGCTTTCATCGTAATGATACCCTTCTTTCCTTTCTGTATAATTATATACAGTTCTTGCAAGGAAAAGTGCTTTGAGGGCCTATGAGATGGTACTAGCTTCTTTCTTACGACAAAAGAAAAAGCTTGTTGGGATGGCTGCAAGCTCCTTGCCGTTCCTGATGATCCTGTTTCACAAAACTAGAAATACACAAACAGGGACAGAAAAAAATGGGAAAAATAGAAAACACTCTTCCTGTCTCTGATACTGACTGACTTATAGCCTTGCTGTTGGAGAAACAGAGGCACAGCATGTCATCTTACCAGCGACTCTGAGACTTGACAAACTTGTACCAGCATCAGGCTGCCTGTGCTTTTGATTTGAGTCACTTTTCTTATCACAGGCTCACAGCAGCATTGTAGAAGAGACTTTTGCCAACTATTAGACAGAAGGCAAAAGGAGATAGATAAGAAAGAAGAAATAAGTTGGGAAAGGAAAATAAGACACAAGGGAGAGAGGTAGGAACAGGCATAAGAGTCTCACCTTTCAACTAGTGATCAGGATTTAGCGCACGCTGGTGGAGGTTGCGATGTCCTTGGTTCTCACACTTCTTAGCCGGGATGTATTTGAGGGTCATGGCAATGAAGACTCAGTTATATCATACCAACTGAACTTATGGCTGGAGTAGACCTACTAGACCACAATTGTTATACTCTTCTTTGTGACTTTTTATGATATGTATATATTATATCAGTACATAATTGATTTTTGATTGTTTCTGTTTTAAGGGAATGTACATATGTAATAGATTATATATTGTCAAGACACACCACAAGGTCAAAACAAAACAGAACGATTAGACCATTAAACAACTAACTTTCCAAGTTAAGTGATTGCTAAATGGTAAAACTGACCTTTTGCAAGGTCAGAATGGATTTTAGGTCTTTCAGTGTCGAAGCAGATCATTGAGGCTGCAAATCACTCTCATTAGATGTAGCATTTATTATCTGCAGACAAATGGTGTCAAGAGAAGAAAGAACTTCCCATCTTTTTGAAAACTTTATCAGAAGCTGCTTCTGAACCTAACACTTGGTTCTTCACTGATATTTATTGGAAATAAAGTTCCCTTGTGGTGATGGGGAAATGTGACAATAATCTTTTTGATTCATAAAGTGAAATGATCAGTTGTTCCCCAATTGGTTTTTTTTTCTCTGTGATGCTGTATTTCTCCTTTCCATTGTCAACCCTTGGAGAGTGTGCGGGATTTAGGATAGTGATACTCAAAGCCTTTCTAAAATACAAGACACACAACAGTTCTTTTGGAGAAAAACAGGCTCCAGGCTTTTGGGTGCTGTCAAATGAACTGAGGTGGTTTACACCTGTCTCTCTTCTTTCAGTTTGTCTGCAGACATAACAATTTTTATGCAACAGCAGTAGTTTTTTGTTCAGAATCAAAAAAGCTACACGCTTACCCTTTTTGATGAAGGTGCATTCCCTTTAGAAATTTTTGTGCTAGTTATTCCTCCCCCAGCAAAGGGAAATGTCTCATTTTCTGCTAGCAAGTGCATGTGTTAAGGTCTACAAGTGATCTTCCTAACCCAAGACCATTTAAATGAAATAGAACTGTGTGTGTCTGTGTAGTTTAATGTAAGAAGTCCACAGCACTTGTAAATAAATATGAAGAATGAATGGATTTTTGTTTTTCCAGGTGATCATTGTAACCACTTCTCCAAGTTCAACGTTTGTGCCCAACATTCTCTCCAAGTCCCACAACTACGCAGCAGTCACCAAACTTGTCCCAACGTCTGTCATTGCCTCAACTACTCAGAAGCAGCCAGTGGTTATAACTGCTTCTCAGTCCTCTTTGGTCAGCAGCAGCAGTAGTAGTAGCAGCACTACCACCACCACCACCACCACTTGTTCCACTCCCTCCTCCACTGCAAATACTATTGCTGTGACTGCCGTAGTATCATCAACGCCATCGGTGGTCATGTCAACAGTAGCACAAGGTACAGCAGTACTGTTATTTGTATAAAAGCTTTCTGACTGGTAGAGTATATTTAGTTTTGAGAAGATGGTATACGTAGGCTTCACCCTTTCTGTGTACTTTGTAAACACCCTGGAACTCAAAACATAGTTTAAAAGCATCTGGTTCTTGATGCTACTAAACCAGTGTATTCTATAAAAACCCTCAATTAACCTGGCTTTCTTATCCCTCTACCCTTAAATTGTTATATGCAAGTCTTTTTTTCAAGAGAATCTTGCCAAAAGGTGTTCCAAGCAGAGTTTGCCTGAAGTATTTAAAAAAAAAAAAATCCAACTCCTCAAAATGTTGTACACTAACTTGAGAACACACTTTCACCTCCCATTCTGTGGCAGTCATTTGGGATGGTTCCTTGTTAAAACATGATCCACAAAAACTAACAAAATGAACTCCAAAATAGATTAGTCATAGTGCTTAGAGTATTTTGATTATGAACTCATCTTAAGTTTTCATAGTATCAAAGTACTTAGAGTCGGAAAGGACCTAAACAGATCATCAGGTCCGACCCCCTGCCCCAGCAGGAACGGGTGCTGGGATCATATCACCCCAGCCAAATACCTGTCCAAATATCTGTTTTGTGTGGTAGAGAAGTATTTATAAGTTTTATCCCTGTTTTAGAGATCAGAAATGCTGTGGTAGTAGTAAAGTGAAGCACCCAAAGTCTAAAAGATGCGTTTCACAGCCTAGATTAAAATTTATGAGTTGTTGAGTCTTAATTCCAATTTAGCATGCGAGGTCACAGTAATGTCATAAAATGATTCTTCTAGGCCCACGTTATTCATAATCTTCCCCTTCCCATTCTCTTCTTGGCACAAAAGGATGTTTTGCAGATGAACTGGGTGGCCTTTAGGATTTGAGTACCAGAATGGGGTGCAATGTAATAGTACAAAATGAAAGGAGCCAGTAACAAAAATCTGTGATATAAGGTAGGGGCTCTCCATTTGGAAATGACACGAGGAGACACCTGGATGTAATCCTGCCTCAAGTAGGGGGTTGGACTGGAGGCTCCACTGAGGTCCCTTTCAGCCCTACAGTTCTGTGATTCTGTCCTGTGCGAGTGTGAATGTGATGTTGGCAAATGTAACTGTGAAGTGCAACTATAGTTGTTGCCTGCGTCCAAGACAGAAAGTTGACTTGGAACAGATAAAGGGGTTGACCAGGAGAATGGAGAGCCATTTTACAAGAGGAAACTGAAAGAGCCTGGCTGCTTTAGACCAACAAAATGATGGCTGAGAAAGGGGATCCGATTATATTACTCTCTTTAAATACATTCCAGGAAGAAAAAAAAAGTTCTTTACTCTAAAGGACTATGGCACAGGAATAAATGGTTATACATTGGCTTTGACTAAACTGAGCCTCAAAGTTAAGAGTCTTTCAACACCCGGAGGTGTTAGCTGTTGAATAGCCTTGGAGCTGGAATAGCCTTCCAAATGGAAAAACAGCTGGAAGCAAACACCCTAATTAGTTTTAAGGTGAAGCTTGGTCCATTTACCTAAGGGGATTATTTCATGAGATTTCTTATTGCAACAAAGGACAGGACTAGATGATACAAGAGTTCCCGTCTAGGTCTGTGTTACTATATTCTCCTAAGAGTTCATGGACCCTTTTAGAACTGTGTATTATTTCTTACATTGTTTCCAAGCCTGTTTTTTATGGTAGCTCTGTGTCTTTTTCCTTTTGTTATGGGATGACTGATATGGTGTCTCGTAGTTGTCTGGGTTTTAATTTTTGTCAGAGGGATTCAGTAGAGAGCAATGTGAGACATTCTTCTTTAAATAATATGAGGGAATCTTCCTATTGTTTATTTTCCTGCTTCAGGTTGTTAAATTTGAATTCTGTGACTGCAGAGCACAGTTAAAACTCCTTGGATGACCTCCCAAAGGTCTGTTACCTAGCTGATGGGCTCCTTAGAATAACAGATTGAACCAGATTCTGTTAAAAGGCGGATGGTATTACACAGTTGCTTAAGATGGGAAGCTGGGGTTCTTATTGTAGGTTTTATGCCAATTGCTTCTATTACTGAACAGAATTTTAAAAATTTAACTGCAAGACTTTGGTTTGATTACCTTGTTCCAAAGTGTTCCTAATTCCACGAGTTACATATTTCATAAGTACTACAAAATATGGTCATATCTTCTGGTATATACCACACCCCCATGCATATAAGACACCATGGTTTTTGAAGAGCAGAATGAAGAGAAAAAGATATACCCAGAGTTATGACTGCATAGAGCCTAGTCTTGAGCTGACTCGCTCTCCCTTTCCTGCTTAAGTAAAACTGAAACCCTTGCTGTTTGCTTAAGGCTGGTCTCCATGGGTGACTATGCTTTTAAAAAGAGCTAAGAAGCCTCCAAAACTGTGCAGTAGGAAAGGAGGGATCAGGAGCAGCTAGCAGATAGCAAAATTGCCCTAGGAAAGATTAGCTTGATTAGTGGAACATCAGGACTATTAAAAAGGAGAGACTGTCGTTAACAACCGTGGACTGAAGAACGGCGGTCCATTAAGTCAACTGACTCCGTCAGATGCCTGAAATAGTCATGCAACAGCTGCTGCATTATGAAGCAGGAATCAAAGTACAGTACTTCTATCCCTCTCAGAAACTCTGCCTCCCCACTTCATATACGCACCCCAATTTTGGGTGGAAAGGTTCTTGTTGTATGCAAGATAATATAGCATTTTATTCACCTCTCTTGGAATATCACGTATGTTGGCAAGCATTCTTATTCAGTGGTGATAGTCTTAATGTTTACCTCTACACTTCTATATTGCCTTTCAGCCTTCTGCTGTCTTGATTTCAATATAAATTATCTTTGTTTCTCTACTGCTTACAAAACTGTCACACTTGGACAGATCTGTTATACTTGTACTACAAAAAGTGCAAAGCATAGATCATAAGCTTTTTGCCACGATCTTTATATTGGCTGTTTTCTTGTGTTTCCTGTCATTGGTAGTCTGACTCTGGGCACACAACATGTTTGCACAGTATGAAAAAAGTACTTCTACAACATACAATCCTCCACCAGTGTAACTCATGTCTGGTATAGAATTAGCCTGAAAAAATAAGGGTAAAAGGACTGGTGTGTGTGTCATTTAACCACAGCTTATCCCAGGGCATCCATTTACCCAGGAAAAAAAGCTCTTATTTGCTCCTCTGCCACCTAGTGACCAGGCACAGCTGTCACACCTGTTACATATGTCAACCCCATGATAATTGGTCATCTGTCCACCCCAGATCTTGGTGTAACTTATTTGTCTACAAAACTTGTGTAAATTAACCAGTGCAAGCTTGTGCATACAGGTTCTGTGTAAAGTTTCCTTTATAAAGAAGCACTTTATCTTCGAATAGAGTGCTTTTGGAATTAAGGTCTGTCATTGCATCTTGCCAATTCATATGTGGCTTGGGTTTGTTTTGATCAATAGCAAAGACAATAGAAAAGTATTTATTTAAAAACACAAAAATGTGTCCCCTTGTTTTGCAGAGTTAAATCCTCATTTGTTTGCTCTTTCACAGGTGTGTCCACATCAGCAATTAAAGTTGCATCTACCAGACTACCTTCCCCCAAAAGCTTGGTGGGAAACCCAACTCAGATTTTAGCACAGTTTCCCAAACAGCATCAACAGTCCCCAAAACAGCCCGTGCATCAACTACAACAACAGGCCCAGCAGCAGCAGCTGACACAATCTTCTCCCATACCTCAACAGCAACCACAGCAATCTCAGTTACCACCTGGCATCAAGCCCACCATTCAGATCAAACAGGAATCAGGTAGTTGGAATTTCTCTTGGATGATTTTACTAATTAGGGAAGTCTTATGTCTGCTTTGAATAAAGGGCTTTCATTCTGTCCTCACATGTGCATAGGCAGCTCTACTGACTTCAGAAAGAGCTGTCTGAAGGCAAGATTTGGCCTGGAAACTCGAAAAGACTGTTATAGAGGATGTCTAGGTAACATTTTTCATTGGACTTAATGGAAAGTCTTCTGTTTTTTGTCTTTGCCTTGGGTAGAAAAAGTTTTCCTGCCTCTTGATGTTGCAAAGGTACGCACGTTTTGGTAAACAAGCGCGGTCGACTACTTGAAAGATGCTAGTTCCTTGAACATCAAATAGCTTTTCAGTAATACCGCTCACACAAAAATTAACCCTTCCTCCTATCTCTTATAGCTTGCTCTGGGTCCCCCCGCCATGTAATTTGGTCTTTTGTCGTATTGAATGCTGTTAGAATTGAGGCTAGATTCTCTTTTAGAACCGATTCATTCAGTTGACTTTGGGCTGGTCACTTTCTCTGCCTCAGTTGTTCCCATCTATAATATAGGCATAATACCCATCTTATTGGGGTGCTGTGAGAATTCATATTTATAAAGTTTCCAATTCTGAGTAAAAAGTGCTATAGAAGTGCAAACTATTCTGTCCATGTGTTATAATAATGCATGTAAAATCAGTAGTAAGGGCTCTGGTACTTAGGTCAGGGTAACTCAGATAAGTTTAGAGGGGAAAATAAAGATAGTTCTAGTCCTATAATCCTTGTCTTTATTTAATCATTGCTTAAATAAAAACTGCCTATCCCAAATAAAATGCCCTCTGCCAGTCATTGAACACCGTACAATTAACAACTATTGTTCTTGCATGTCTGTTGCACATACAAAAATAATATTAAAGTCCTCTAAATTTTAAACTAGCAGCACTGTCTTTTGGTCTTGTACTGTGCTTGTTGATTTTCCACAGTAGATTGAACAATTTGCAGATTTTCCATGGTTTAAAAAAAAAAATCTACTTGTAGCATACCATATACTACTTACTTTGGAAGGCTTAGGTGAGAGAGTTTACACTGAGATTCTGCTTTGTATCCAGTTTTTCACCTGGATTTTTGAGAGGAAGTCTATGCAACTTTCCCACCCTAATACATAATGACTCAGCATGGAATAGAACTACACAGCCAGTATATCCTACACAGATCTGGATACAGTTTTGTGCTAATTGGATCATGACTTCTCACATCCTTTGCAACTGAAAAGTGAATGCTAAGGACAGTTCATGGGTTGGTTGTAGGAAGGAGAAAGTAAAATCCCACAAACATTGGAGGGGAATGGAGATGCGTGCTCCCTACCTCTAATTTGATGCCTCTTTCCAGTCCCTGTGCTAGCTCAGTTCCTTTCCAGCACAAGGCTGTAGGCCAGGCAGAAAGAGCATCTCATGCCCAGTTCCCCTATTCAGTGCCATATTTGTTCCTTACTCCTACCAGCAATCCAATTTTTTTGCTTTATGTAACTTGATAAAATGAAATTTGTCCTTTGTAATTAAATTTAAATTGAAGTAACTTAATTGAAAAAAAATATGGATTATATCTTTAGATATTTCATTGCTTTTGGACTAGTTTGTTACTGATTGAAATGGTGGGTCTTGGAAACATTACTTCATTTTTTAGTCATGGGCCAAAACGGTTAAAACCTACTGCAGTGGATCACATGACTTACTGGCATCCCATGTTTTAGTTAAGAGTAGCTAGGAAGTGGCAAAAGGCACATGAAAGACGGTGCTGATTTTTCTTGATTATTGGCAAAAAGTCCAAATATTCTTTTATGATGAAGAATACATGGGCTCAGAAGTAAAGACCTCAGAAGACCCATTAGGGCTTGGTCTGGGGAAGCATTTCAGAAAGTAACTTTTTGTGCCTGTATGTTAACAGTGACCTTTCTCCTTTCCTAGGTGTTAAAATAATCACTCAACAGGTGCAGCCCAGTAAAATCCTACCCAAACCAGTTACAGCGACTTTGCCCAGCAGTAGCAATTCACCTATTATGGTGGTTAGCAGTAATGGGACTATCATGACAACTAAACTGGTTACTACTCCCACTGGTAAGTTACTACTTCTAGAAGGGAAGGGAGGGTAAACCCAGAAATACAGGTGATGAACTCCATATAACAGGGTTAAATAACATCTTGTTCATTGCTTATGAAAAGGTATAATAGTAGATTCATAAGCCTGTTGGGTAGTCATGCTAGGTTAGGGCTCTTACCCTTGCCATACTCTAAAATTGCTATACTATGACCTCAGGTTAACATGAAGTGGTCTTTTAATCCTCTTTTGGTCTCTCTAACTTGACACCCACTAGCATAATCATAGCTTCTGAAACCCGTCACGATACTTTGCACTTCTGTAGCACTTTGTATTAGGGAATATCGACAAGTGAGTTAAGCCTTCAGCATTCCTTGAAGGTAGGTAAAGATCGTCATTCCTGTTTTACAGATGGAGGAATCGAGAGATGACTTGCCCAGTTCTTACAGTAGGTGTATAGAGGAGAGAGGAAATAGAAATTAGATCTCCCTACTTTTTCCTGTGTTGTTTGCTGATAGATGTGTGCGCCTTCTGTATCGTATCATCAATGATCCAGACTGATGCGTTACAGGGTATTGTTTGCAAACTTGGAAGCATGAGGAGAATTTGGGGGAGGTTACTTTTTTTTAAAACTTGGTTAATTTTTTTTTTTTTTTTTTTGCTAAGTGTTCAATATAGGCTGGAAGTGATGGTTTAAATTTGTCTCTTCTATGCCTCACTTAATTTTTAGTTTAGCTTTTCAGGTTACTTTTAAACATTATAGACACATCAAATAGTCTCCTAATCCATTATAAACAAGTACAAATGACTTGTTCTTGCATTTTTTTAAATTTGTATTAATTGGTAAACGTCATAGAGGTAATTTACTTTCTCTTTGATCTGGTTTTGAATGTTTGGCTTTCCAGGTATCTGGCTAGCAGTTTTTTCATTAAAATCTTCAGCAAATGACTAGTCTGCAGTTCAGCGCTTGCAGAAGTGCAAGCAAAGTAGAAATCTCCTTTCTTAAGCTATTTTCCACAGCTAATACTGGTAATCAGGAATGTATTTCTAATTTTTGCTGTACAGTTGTGTCCAACATGTAATTTTGGGGAAGTCTTAACTTCTGCAGGCCCAGTACTGCTCCAGTTGTGGTCAATGGGAGACAAATTCAGTACCTCATTACTACCTGTTTGGTTTGAGAAGATTAGTTTTGTATGTGTGAGCACTTCAGAAATTTAACTTTACATCTTTAATTGTAATTCATAAGCAGTAATAGTATCTTTTTTGTAAAGGGAACTTTAAACCTTAATGAAAGCTTTGTTGTGTTAGATGAAGGGAAAACCAAATATATTACCCTTTTTCTTAAGGAAAGAAGGGAACAGTTTTGGCAGTGCCATCCAGTAAACTTTGGCTTCTGATAAGATAAAGGGAAATACTGAGGCATGTTTTAAAGACCATATGAGCAAAAGAACCAGGAGCCTAATGGACATGGGCTTTGAAAAATTATGGATACATCACAGTGGGGTAAACAGAAAGCAGGTGACAGCATGTCTTATGAAAGCATATTTAAGTTTAAATTAAATTGCATAAATATTGATATGCAGCCTGAGAACTAGCTGTGGGTTTGTAAACACTATCATGGCCCATCTTGTCATGGAGCTTAATGCTTCCTTTGAAGTAAAACGCCTTTCACATTTTGCAGTGCTGGTAGTGTTTCATGTTTTAACAACAAGTTTGTTTCATGTTTTCCTTTGAAATAGGGACTCAAGCAACATATACACGTCCAACAGTAAGTCCCTCTATAGGGGCTCGGATGGCTGGAACTCCAGGCGCCGCCACTTACGTGAAAACCACTAGTGGAAGCATCATAACAGTAGTACCAAAATCGCTGGCTACGTTGGGAGGCAAGATTATCAGCAGTAATATTGTTTCTGGTAGGCCTATGGGTGTCTTGCTATAAACCTTTATTTGAGAAACAAAATTGAGACATGCTCTGATTGTTCAGAACTCAATATTTGACTTTTCACTGAGTACACAGTCCAATAATTATTTGGGCCAGTTGAAGAAGACATTTCATTGTACGTGTCAGAAATAGCTGAATGGGAAGGGGAAGGATAAGGTAAGGAGGGAGTATGTGGGGGATGAAAGAAACCAAAAGGTTGTATTATAATAACAGAATTCTGTATTCCCATGCAACAAAAAATTGGTGTCCTTCTATGGAAAAGAATTGGAACAGATATATACTAAGGATACCCTTGGTATCTGAATTGTTTTCTATGAAATAGGAAACCTTTCTTCAAGGTGTAAACTACTAGATAATTTTTTCTTTCAAAGTGTTACAGATTAAATTGTAGAGCAAGCAAATACATATTCACTCTCATTTGAAGGTAACTCTTTATAAAGACAACTTCCTTTTGGCACAGGGATGCCCAGAATTTGCCAGAGGCTCATAATATAATATGAGAAAGATGAATGTATTTAACTATAGTACCTTTTAACTATAATCACTAACTTTGAATTTAAGACAACACTCCCTTCTCCCCTCCTTCTCCCTCCCAAGAATTAGATTCTATACATGGAAAATTTATACATTTGTTATCATTTTCCACATATAGAATATTATTTTTGGGGGGTCATCTGAAGTTCATGTCCCCCATTGCTGCAGAGGGAAAGCAGCAGAAGGTGGCAGGGGCAAGTGGCTGGGGGCCAGGTAATATGAGGATCAAATGGTGGGGGGTCAGGCACCGAGGAGGGACACAGGACAGGGATCACTGCCTTTCCACCTCCCCCTCCCCCACTGCCTTCCTGGTGCCTGTCTCCCCTGTCACTTGTGTCCCTCTGCCCAGTATAGTGGCTTGCCCAATATAGTGACTTTGGTCCAGGCCACAGAGCATGCAGTAGCTCCAGGCCTGGCCCTGGCCAGGCAGCAGTGGTGGCACGTCCAGCCCCAGCTGTAGGTCAAGGCTGGACTTTGACTAAAAGCAGCTGTCTGCCCCAGCATAGTATTCAAATCCAAGATAAGGCTCCCTTCCCTCCGCTTGGATTTGAGTAAATATGTTATTAACTTGTACTTGCATCTTCTATGATGACCGCTGAGAGTTTTCCTTTGGTTTACACCAACCAAAGAACGTGGAGCTGCCCGACTTTGCTGATGCCATGCACGGTCTGTAAGAATGGTTATTGTACATCCTGCACACCTGACCTTGAACCCACCTTAGTTTAAAGTTTGGTCATGTTTTAAGACTACTAGGACGGTAGAATTATCATCCTTATTGTGCTCTGAGGGAGTGTCTAGAGTTATATGACATGTAACAAAAACTGAATGTCATCGCTTTTGACTCAGGCCTGTCTTTCTTCCTATATTCTTTAAGGAACGACAACCAAAATCACTACAATTCCAATGACATCTAAACCCAACGTGATTGTTGTGCAAAAGACTACTGGAAAAGGAACAACTATTCAAGGTCTTCCAGGGAAGAATGTAGTCACAACATTGTTAAACGCTGGGGTAAGGAGCGGTTTGAAATCTAGAATCTCAGATCCAGCAGGTGCAGTACTATATGTCTTTTGGAGTGGCCATTATTAGTAGAATTCCCAAGAGCTCTCAAACAGAGCACGAGTCTAGCTGAAAAGCAAGCGTGAAAAACTCTTAGTCAAAACAGGGACTTGAAGATTTCTCCTGCTCAAGTTGGGTTAAAGTCCCATATTTCCTATTAGTTGTCCGTATGTCCCTGGCTTATGGAGATCTTGGAATCCAAAAAGTGGAGCCAGGAAAAGTGACACGGTTTTTATATTATAGTTTCCTCTTAAAGTGAGGAGGATGTGTCCTCTTTTTCAGACACTGCAGATGTCTGGTTGTGTGCCTGTCAGAAGGAAAGGGTAATAATCTTTTCAGGGGACTGACTGTTTCCATGTTCTGTTTGGTGCCTAATATGATGAAGCCCTGCTACTGAGTGATGCTTCTGGGTGCTACTGCAACATTACTTAGTGAGGGGAAATTTTGATTGGGAGGGTTAAAAGATGTTTCTGATACAACCGTAGTTGCTACTCTGCTTTGCAACTGTAAGGAATCGAATGTTTCCTTAAGCTAAGCAAGGTCACAGGTAAGCAAAGTTAAAATAAAGCATAACATCATGCTTTGGGGATGGAGAAGGAAGTGTTCTTCCCCAGGGAGTACTTATTCCAACCACTGGGTGTTAAATATTTGTTCTCTAGCCCCTTTTATCTGTACTTCTAGCATAACTCCTGAATCTTGGTTCCCTGGTTGAACTACAGCGAGTTCTTTTGGCAGATAGACTAGCTGACGTGTATTTATTATTGTCTACTCTCACAATTTTGCTAGATCACTGTAATGATGTGAGCTCCTTGATATGCTGTATTTACTCAAATCCAAGAAGTTTTCTTTCCCCTATTTAACATGGGGGAGGGGGGTAGATGCCCCTTTTCTTGGATTCAAGTATGAGGTGGGGTGGAAGGGGCAGGCAGTGGTCAGAATACCTTTAAAACCAATACTCGGACACTGGAACCAGGTGGGAAAGGGTTTATGTATTATAAGATTTTTTTTGAGCTTGTAAAAACTTTTTTCCATTTTGTTAGGACAGAAATGCAAACCCAGATTTTCACAGTTCTGAAATCCCACAGTGTTTTGTTGTTTTGAAATTGGCACTGTGGTATTTCTGAAACCAGATACGCTGTCCAAGGCCCCCAGCTGCCATCTAGTCAGGATTAGGGCCCTGAGAATGTGAAAGGTGCTGACAAATGAGATTCTTATCAGTTTCACTGCTGCCCATTACTGAATAAGTGCTAGATTTTAATGGTTGGGGGTCTAGCAGAAGCTGGTTGAAATTGGACTGTTCCTACAGAACAGCTATAACTCAGCATTTCCCAAAGACAATCCATTTTATTGAAAAAAAATGTGCACCAGGCGCATCAGATACCTAGAGACAGGTATCATATTAAAGCCTATGACAGATGAAAGGAACATACTTTCAAGAATTTTTAAACCTGTAATTTAGAGTTTGTAAAGTCACTTAATAAAAAATGGTATGTGGTTTTTAATTTCCACTGATAAGAACGTTTACAAAAGACTTGGGGGAATTCTGTCTTTAGTAAATGATCTGAAACAGACAGTCTTACTTGAGCAAGAGGCACCTGCCAGCTTTAGTACTTAACATAAAAGCAAACATTCATTCCCTTGTACTGCTGGAAACCCCCTTCACCTCTCCAACAAGCCCTCCAGAAATTACTTGAGAATCAGAAATAAAATTGGCCAAGCTGGTTAAATGTAGAAGCTGAAATGCATTAAAAAAGCAAGCTAACAGTGAACACAGAGAGAGGAGATTTTTTTTTTCTTGAGTGTTTTCATCTTTGATAATCGAAGCTGTTGCTGTTATCAAATGACAACTTTTCAAAGTTTTACATTTCCCTTTAAATTGTCCTTGAACAGTTCTACCCACTCAGAGAGCAGCAGTTTTGTTTAAGGCCAGTTAAATGCTCTAGTTCAGCGGTGCTCAATCTGGCCTTGCAGGGCTGGGTCAGTGGTGTGGGACCAGTTCGCAGGGCAGATCCTGCATGTGGGGTTGGGCCTGCAGGTACAAGCCCAGTGTGCAGGACCTGGTCATGGGCCAGTGCCATCTAGCCTGCTGTGCCACATCATCTGGTCTGTGGGGCTCCCAATGGTTTAGGAAATTTGGCAGCAGGCGAATGACTGTTAACGCTTCCCCTGGTCCTCTGCCACCAAATTTCCAGCTGTGGCGATGCACAGACAGAGAATAAGCACCTCAGCTCTAGTCCTTTTGATCTCCAACCTCATTCTTCCAGCAGAATTTAAAGTGTAAATCTCTATTTCTGATTTTTTTTTTTTTTTTTTTTTTTAATTCACCTTCACTTCAATGCATCTGTTCCTTGAAATCAGCCTGGTGATGAAAGAAATTAGTTGACATGTTACATGCAGCCACTACATTGCTTCATACATGACTTTATGTATCTTAGACAAGAGGCTATTCCGGTGGTTCCCAACCTTATTAGACTCGAGGCATCCCTTGGAAAATGCCAGTTCTAAGCTTTCACTCTTTTTGACTACAGAAAAATAATAGGCCAATTCTTCTGTTGGAAAACTCAAAGACCACAACAGATCAGAATGATTTTGACACTCTGGAATCCTATTTGAAATGTCTGGGTTTATTTTGGCACCCTGGTTGAGAATCACTGGGCTATTCTCTCTCACTGAAGAATAATTTTTTGAGGTAACATGTATACTTTGCCTTCATTACAGGGGGAGAAAACCATTCAGGCAGTGCCAGCAGGAGCAAAACCTGCCATCATCACTGCAACGAGACCCATCACAAAAATGATTGTCACACAGCCAAAAGGAATAGGGTCCACTGTTCAGCCAGCCACCAAAATCATCCCAACCAAAATTGTTTATGGGCAGCAAGGCAAAACGCAGGTACAGTGAGACCTTCTTCCTGTTTCATGAAAAACACCCCCGGATTTGTGTTAGAGAAGCACACCTTCATGGTATTTACAGTACTTTACGTTTCAAAGTCTTTAATGACTCCCAACATATTTGAAATGCTGCAGAGGGGTATAGTATGTTTCCTGTCTCCCAGTTAATCAGTACAACATCTGGTGTAGGGATATATAATCTTCTGCTGTGAGACTTAAGCTTTCAGACCTCTGTTGAGCCTGATCCTATAAATGCTAAAGTGCTAAGTACATACCATATCTTATTTGCATACCACGTGCACCTTTCCCTCTGAACTTGGGTTGCCTGTCTTAAGCAAGGAAGCTGATTTTTCTTCTCTGGACTAGAAATGGGGAGGAATATTAGAACACAGCATCTTTTTGCTTCTGGCTGCCTAGATGTCTGCCACTTCTTTTTGGCTCAGCAAGCAGCAGGAGCAGAGTCCAGCGGTAATCCTCGCGGTAATCCTCTCAGCTGTGGCTATTGCCTGAGCACTGTGGCTTATGCCTGAAGGAGCAATTGAGTTGGCTCAGGGCCGGTGAGCTGCTGCATGCAGTCTGCAATAGCTTGATGAGGCTTGTGTGGAAACAACGCTTTATTATTTTCAGGAACTTATGTAAAGAACTATTTACAGTAAGGAAGTAAGTCTTGCTACAGTCCTTTGCAAGGGTCTGGGGCCTAAATTTGCTGCTGTCCTACCATGCCAGGAAGTTTCTGCTGCCTTACCCAGACCATCTAGGATGTCACACTTCCTGGACACCCCGTGTTTCTAGGAGAACTTACTTTGTCAAACTCTTATGCCAAACAGTCAGTCATGACTCTTGGTGCTTGTCTTATTTTGGGTGTGTGGTATGTGAGAAAATATATATATATATATTAGTGGTTTTTTTTAACATGAAGCATAAATACAACCCAGTAACTTGTGCACTTCATTTTAAATGGATTATAACTAGAATCCTACACAACACAGCCAGCATCTGTAGATACTGTCATGGATGGTAATGGAAAAAGTGGATTACGTAGATCTTGCCATACACTGTCCTAATGTCCTGTTAGAGGAGAGTATGCAAAGGAGCTCAACGAAGTGAAAATGTCTGTTACTTTTGAGTGTTCTTGCTGTAAGTAAAAAAAATTGGCTTTTTATTAGGTGCTTATAAAACCAAAGCCAGTGACGTTTCAAGCTACGGTTGTGAGTGAACAGACTAGGCAGTTGGTAACTGAAACATTGCAGCAGGCATCCCGGGTGGCAGAGGCAGGAAATTCTTCTCTCCCGGAGGTGAAAGAAGAACCACAGAGCTACACTGATAGCAGTTCTTCCTCTACAGAGTCGTCCCAGAGCTCCCAAGGTAAAGATCATTAATGACTTTGTTGCTAATTAAAATGGTTTCCCTCCCTCTCTTGAGGATGGCAACTAGTTTTGTACAACTTGATGCATCTCCTTTATTACCTTTTTAAAAACAAGATCACCCGGCCTGTTAGGACGCGGAACATCAGAAGTTTGCTACTGACTCGTGAGTCACTTTACTATGTGCCTCATTTCCCCATATAAAGTAGTAGGGCTAATATCTTCTTGTACAGCTGTTGAGGTTAAGTTCTGAAAAGCGTTTTGAGATTTTTTTTTTTTAGATTCTAGAGAAGTATGAAATTGTAGCTCTAAATATCAAGTGAAGTATGTAATAGTAGTTCTAAAATAGACTTCACTTCACCTGAACATCATTAGTTCCCTTAATATTAAATTTCCATGTATATAAAAAAAGAAAGTCTGGCTCAGTTATTCCTTTGATCCTAGCTCGCCTGGGCAATGGCATGCATTTTAATACTGGGAGTTCTAAATGCATATGGAGAATTTGGGAACCTCTTCATTGGAGGGTTTCAAAAAGAGTCTGAGTAGGCATCTATATGCATGATTTTGGAATATATCTCTGCAGAAGGTGGAACTAGAGAAAAAAAGGAAAAGTGATTCAGTTTTTATCAGTAAAATCTTAAAAAGAAATTTTTCATATACATGTCCCTTCTTCCACTCCTCATCTATTGTATATTTTTTTTTGTAAAATTTTACATGTCGGCTTTATTTTTGTAGCAGACAGTGTCAGCAGACTTAAAGGAATTCATATTTATTTTCTGTTAAATAGATGTAGAGGTCAGATTTTGAATAAGCAGCTGAAACCTTTCAGCCCAAGGTGGATACCCAGCCCTAGCTGTTCAAACTGAAGATTTTTAAGTTCAGCAAAGTTTTTTATAAGCCATTGAAAACAGGGTTTTTCAAATAGAAAGCATTAGGAAACCCTGTCTGCAAGCATTGCTGCTGGGTCCAACTATAAGAGAGCCTAAACTGAAAGGTTGCAACAAGTTGATTTGATATCCTTGTTCTTTTGTGTAACAGATTCCCAGCCTGTTGTTCATGTAATCGCTTCCAGAAGTCAGGATTGGTCAGAACATGAAATTGCTGTGGATACCAGCCCTACAATAATTTACCAGGATGTATCCAGTGAATCTCAATCAGCTACTTCTACAATAAAAGCCTTGTTGGAACTCCAGCAAACAACAGGTGTGCATTTGGAATCACTTTAAAGCATATAGCCGTCAACTGCATTGTTAAAATAACAATATGACACTTTCTTAGTTGAATATGCACTTTTTTGGATCCCTTTCCATTTCTTTATTCTTGCCTTTATGAGAGATCAGTTTGAAAGTACTGTAGTATTTTCCTGCAGCTTTGACATTTTATAACAAATTGACTTCCTGTATATTTAACCTCAGTTGGAGTTTATTTTACTAAAAGATGCACTTCCAATATTTTAAATCAGTGAAAGAGAAGTTAGAATCAAAACCACGACAACCTACCATTGACCTGAGCCAAATGGCAGTTCCAATTCAGATGACCCAGGAAAAGAGGCATTCTCCTGAAAGCCCTTCAATTGCTGTGGTAGAGTCTGAATTAGTTGCTGAATATATCACAACTGGTAAGTGACTTTAAAAAAAAAAAAGAAAAGAAAAAAGGCCTTGCTGTAAAAAGTGTGTGTGTAAAGGTGGGGGGTGAGGATGACTGGTTTTCAGTTTAAAAAAAAAAAATAAAGCTTTTATTTTTGAGGTTTGGACAAGGGGTGGTGCTCATTTTCCTTTGTAATAATATTTTTGGAGAGAAAATTCATGCTTGTCTTCATCTAGAGGGTGGACGCTGCTGCTTCTGTTCTGCGGTATATTGGAGATTGCATGTCCAGTTCTGATATAACCGAAGCAAAAGATCATTGGTTCAACACAAACCACTTAAACATATGCTTTATTCCAATCTGGTGGGAAAATGTCAAGATGTCCCTATTGCCACCCCCTGTGGAGGATTCATAGGAAAAAAAATGCAAAATGTAACTCAAGCATTATGTGGACTTGGTACGTAAGAGAGGCAAGACCTCCTGGGGAATTTAGTTTGCAAAATTTTACTTGCCCATCAGTGTTGAGTAGGCGTTTTGGGCAGTATAATTACCACCCCCACCTGCCTCATGAGAATGGACAAATAGTATTTGTGTTTGGTTTGGTAAATTTTCATATCATCTTTGCAGTGCCAAGTTAACTCGGAACTAATGCATCAAACTTGTGATTGAGATTTGGCTTTCACTAATGAACCTCCTGTATGCCTAAGACATTAGGCATGCTTGGATGCTAATGCACTCTGAACCCTCTTTTCTGTTCCTCTGGACATGCCTACCTATACCGTGTCTCCCAAAAAATGGAATAATCACTTTCTGTCCTCAGGCCTTTTCTCTGAGCCACCTTTTAGTATATTCAGGTGTGAAGGGATCAAGGTAGTTCATATATGAAGCATTTTTAAATTTCTTAATTAATGTGAGTGAACACTCTCTGTGCTTGTTTTCTTTTTTTCTATGTGCCGATTAAGATTTGTGCAGCTGAAAATGGGATTGAAGTGTGCCTATATTTAAATATACTCAAATACTATTTCAGTGTCTTTCATTAAATGTCTAACCTGGTATTTCCATTATTTTCATTTTCCTCTTCTGTTCCTTTCCCTTCCATATCCATCTCCTGTACCTCTGATTTAAGGTGTGCAGAATTTTTATTCTTACATCACTTACTGTATCTGGCTTCAATTTTGACTGAGTCGCTCTTTTGTGGATCCCTGCTAAGAAAGCCTTGGCTAAATATTAAAATGTTTTATTAGTGAGCATAAAAAATACTTGATAACAGGTATGTCCTCTGCCACAGTGCTGCTCCACCTTCTGGTCCCGCAGGCTGGATGAGAGGCGCATGGCTGCTCTGCGGACCTAATCCAGTACAGGGTTACATCTAGCACGTGGGTCCATGTCATCCAGCCTGCAGGGCTCCGTCGTGGGTCCTTAAATTTGGCAGCAGGGGAGCTGTGGCAGAATAAATTGTTGTGACACTGGGTGCTGTGGGATTTAACACTGCCACTGCTCCCCCATCACCATGGCTGAAATCGTGCCACTGCTCCCCCGTTGTAAAATTGCAGGACCTGCTGGCCAGATGACATGTCTCCACAGGCTGGAGGTTGAACACCACTGTTCTGTAGCCCTGTCAAAATGATCTCCAATTAACTGAAAACCAGTCATTCCCTGACATGACCAAACACAATACACTGTGCATGTATTTAAGTTTCTGCTTTCAGATTTCTCTGAGTCGTACTGGAAAAATCCATTTAAAATAATGTTTTTCTGAAAAAACAAAAATCCACTCAGCGTGTGAAAGATGACAGGAATGAAAGCTTCTGTAACATTTCTGTCATCAGTAACTGAAAATAGTATTTTTCACAAACCACACAGTGGTTTACAGAATTACAGGCAATGTGCATGATAGGGGTCCATCTACTTTTCCCACTAATGAAATGCAGTAAGCTATGGATTGAAGAAGGCGGCCTTCATTATAGCATGCAGCTGTGGTTACTTCTCTAACTTACCTCTCATCCAAGTTTAAGTGATCACCTATCTAGAAGTAGGGGCCATTGAGGCTTGCTGCTTTTTTTTTTCCTCTTTAATGTACAATCTTCAAACTTCATCAGTAATCCTGACTGGGTTTTCTGCTAAAATGATTGGCGGTGAAATAATGAACAATATTGACCTATGTTAACTTCGTTACACTTTGCCTAGACCAAAGGATTAGGCACATTTTAAATAAATCTAAATAGGTATCAGGCTTCAGTGTTAACACCCCACTGGGATAAGTGGGGCAGTTCACACCCCTTAGTGTTATCATTTTTTTTCTGTCTGCAGACTCAGGAAGACAACACTGTATAGGTTCACATTCAGAAGAATATCTACACAACCATGTAGGTTAGAAACTTTATTTTTAAATTAAGTTTTAAATTCTGCAGAAACTGTTGAGGTCCCCCAGGAAGATCTGGTACAGCATGCAGGCCAGTACTGATTTGATTCAAGTCCCTGCCTAGAGCTGATAAGCCAAGTCCCTGTGCTCATTTGAACTTTGGCCTTTCTTTTGAATCCAGCAAAACCACCGGTGACTTCTTGTCACTGTCAGGTCCTAACGTAAACTGGTTTTCATCATATTCTCCTGAGCTTTCCAGTGCTTTGCCATGTTTTCCAGGATTTGAAAATTTTAATTACATATTAGTTTAAAGCAGATATTTTATATTTTGTTACTAGCAGGTCTAAGTTAATTGGAGTTCTCCATCAATGCAGTAACTTTTATTTTAATGGGATTAATTATACTTTGAACTAAGGATCACTCTGCCTGCCCTACTGTGTCATTATGGAGCCATTGCTCTAATTCCAGTGGCTAGCGTTGCCTCTATTCTGAAAAGTTATTGGAAAAATAGTATTGTGGGTTCTGTGCTTGTCTCAGTGATTTCTGAACTCCTTTACAAAATGACGTTTTGACTGCCAGCCTTGCAAACTTAACTTTGGCTCTTGGGCGTTAATTAAGGTTCTCTTTGTGCATTTTTGCCAGTAATTATTCTGTAGCCAAGTCTTACTGTTCTCAGTTATATCTTTACAACCCCATTGCTTCTAGTAGTGTTGTAAAGATAGGAGGGGCAACGGATTTTTGTTTTTGCAGTATTATTTACTGTATGATTGGGAGAGATGATGGGCAATCTTCTTCCAGTGGTCTGTGCCCAGAAGCTTGTCGTCATCTCTTCCAGCTATACAGGTGATCCAGTAAAAGGTATCCCAAAAAACCTTTGCTTTTCTTACATTTCCTTGACCATCATGGCTATAATAGCAT